ACACCTCATCTTCAGAGCTCATTTTTGGGTGATGTATTTTCAGCCTTTGGTACCCATGTGCTCCCTTCTTCCACAACTGATGTGCAATAACCTGAGTCCAATGAGGATAAAGATTTGCCACTTCTGCAAGCCTATTGATTTTCATCTTTATCTCAATTATATTAAGACCTGTGATCATCAATTTCAAGATCCATTTTTTCCGCATAAACTCATCAAGTATGATAAAAGTACAATCAAAATACTCAACTAATTGCACAAAATTCAAATAATTGCTAAGGAGATTAAAAATGGCAAAGCTGCTGAAAAGTGACCTCTGGCAGGCAGCGAGCTCCACAGTAAGTAGCCCAAGACAACCAGGGATGCTTCTCGAAGCCCCCAGTCTGCTCCACCTCATTCTCGCCCCTCACCGTGGCCAATGGGAGCTTCTAGACCACCCCAAAGCTTACAGATTCCACAATGCTGTTCTTCTCTCAGTACTGGCCAAATAAAAAAAAAAAAATGCAACCTCTAATGACCTCTCACCTAAAAACATAACTTCTCCTCTGCCTTCTCACCAGATCCTCGTTCCACTTGTTCAAAGCCCCCCTGTGTGGATAGGCCCCAATTTTACCTTTAAAGAAGAGTGTATGTGGAATTCCTTTTACTACTCTCTGTTCACCCAATTAGCTCTTTTTCCATTTTGGGAGTCCTGCTTGTTAGAGAAGCCTGTCCAGCTGATCAAAGAACAGCTGAAACTTCTGTCTCCTCCTCAATTTGGATTCTGAAATCACAAAAGTTACCTTCACCACTCTTGATCTTCTCTCCATCCAGCTTGCCATGAATCCTCAGAAGTCCTATCTTTGTTCCCACAAAGTATAATTGCTTTTTCTGGGCCTGATTTAAAGTCTTTGCCATCCATTCAGGTCTTCAGTTAATGCTACACTCCTTCAGCTCTCTGCCATATGCTGTAAACTCTAGGGAAAACTGACCTCCTGGGACTCTTGCAGATATGAGCAGCAAATGGAAAAATAAATATATATGCATACATGCACACACACAAATGTATCTCAAACATTACCAAGTATCCATGACCTACTGACAACTGTGGTAGCTAAGTTTCCTCTCTTCCTAGTATTAACTCATTCAAAGCCACCGACTCTAGCCTGAGTTTCTGTTATCAAGTAAAACACCAGTTCCAACAAAAGGAATTGAAGTTTCTGGGCTTGGGGGAAAAGCTTATAACACACACAACAAAGCCAGTAGATACAGAATGGCAGAAAGTGCAATCTGCAAGCACGCCCATGCTCTGAACCACCAAGATACCTAATTAGGTAAATAGGAAAATCCAGAACGTTTCATATCATCAGTTTCAAAAATTACAAGAAACCAATTATCCCTCAGAGCTGTCATTAGTATATAGCGCTTCTCTCAGAAACCCCAATTTTCCTTCCGGGCACAATTCAAAACAGAGGGAAAGGAAAAAAATCGATACTGGAAATGTCAGAGACTTTTCTGGCCAGTGCCTTATGGACGTCTCTCTGGGCTTCCGCAGATCACACAGCTTGTCTTCTCTGTGTGCAGACATGAGATAAGCACAGTTTTCCTACATGATTTCTCTTGGCCTCACCCGGGGTCATTTTCGTTATTTCCCACTCAGGAAAGTGGGAAATGTGTTAAGACTCACAGAATGTAAAATAAGAATGTTCGCTTTCAAAAGCAGAGCCACAGAAAGGGCTGTACGAGTGGCAAGCTCGGAGTTGGGGGTCAGGGTGAGGAGACAGACTTGACTGCTGAATGCAGATGCCTGGGCATGGCCATCCGAGCCTCTGCAGTGCAGAACCCAGCACCCAGGAAGCCCATCTTTCACCTTTCCCAACAGCCAGAGCCATGGTTTTGGTGACTTTCCTGGCCACCCCTGGGTTCCATTCCTCATCTGTCCTCAGGCCTTCCTTCTGCCCCTTTACTGGAGGAACACACTTTCTGGCATTCCTCCTGATTTTCCCTCCTGAAACGACATCTGACAGTAGAATGTGAAGGCTAAGCTTGCCTCTACAAGCCTTCCCTCTGGGACATGCCTCCTTATATGGAGATTTCTTCTGTAAAGTGAATGGTTTGAAACCAGCCCATTTTTAAGCAATACCTGGTAACGGGCTTTCCAAATCTGAGTCTCTCTTGAACCACCTGCATGACTAGGGCCAGAGCCAGGGCCACCTACGTGATTATTCTTTGCATACTATTTTTCTTATATCAATCCACTTTTTAAACACATAAATATGTTTAAAACCGAAACCATAGCAACATCATTTACACTAAGTGAAATGGAACTCAATGATCAACTCAATGCCAACAAAATAATGTTAAGAAATCCTAACTAGTCAGTGTCCCTAGCTGAAGACACTAAGTTCGAGGACTTCTCCTCCTTACTCAAACAAGAGAGATTACGAAGTCCTGAAGGAGGGGAGAGGACACCATGGTGCAACTCAAGATCCTCTCTAGCACAATCCCAAGGGTGAAAGGAAAATAAAAGAGGAGAGCAGTTTCTAACCACAAGGCCTAATGTTATTTAATGTCATTGCACGCATCACCTAAAATCATTTCAGTGATCTGTGGCAGAAAATCCCTCCCTCTCTCCCAAGAAGGTTTACTGAGTATCTACTATCTTCCAGGAACTTTGCAGGGAGTGGAGAACGAAAAGACTAAGAAAGAAAGAAAGAAAGAAAGAAAAAAGCTGTGTGCCCACATGACACTTAAAATCTATTTAAAAAACCAAAAAAACAAAAAAACAACTGTATCTAGGAGAGCCTTGTTTCCAGATCAGCACCTTAAATAAACTTCGATTTAAAACTGTGAAAACCAGTCCTCGCCCTGCACCCCTGGCAAGAGACTCTATTCACATAGCAGCTTCTCTGATTAGGTTCCCGATAGGAAATGACAAGTGGTTATTAGTTTTTAAGCATCTGGCATGCTTTGTAAGCAGTATTAACCGCCCCCAAAAACCTCAGGGCTTCCCAGATAAACAAGTCCCCACCCAAACACCCTTTCCTATCCGCCCTAGGGGTAACCCCCAGCAAAAAAGACAAACGACATTTAAAACCTGATTGAAACCATACCAAACCATGGAGCTTTTAAATGTCAAGGAGGAAGGCAATTCAACCCAGCAGGTTTCTCCAGGACTGACAAAAAACCACTTCTCTGTAGTTAGATTTTTAAAAAATCAATCAGTAGAGACAGCAAGAGAAGAGAGTGAGGCCAAGACTGACCTTTGAGTCAAGGGCAACTGAAATGATTCACATTTGTGACTAATTATCTCTCTCTTAATCTTTATGTTTGTCTCTCCCTGAACAGGAGCTGTCTTCCAAGCAACTGAGACATATGACCGGATTGAATTCCAGGCTTCTGTTGGGTCTTGGTATGTCCAGATTTAGAGGAGCTGTCCGTGTGTGTGTGTGTGTGTGTGTGTGTGTGTGTGTGTGTTTAAACAACTGACATGTCATTCTTTTAAAGTGCATGTAAAAGTTTAAGCTTCCTGAATCTCATAAAGAAAAATTATAAAAGGATGCCCGTACTGTTTTCAAAACCTAAAATCTCTTTAAACTGTCTTCAAAGTATGCTCTATTTAGATACAGAATAATATTGCTAACCTGAAACCAAGATATTATGCATTGTATGCTACCTTACCATTAAAAGAGATGGATTACACCTTAGAATAACACATAGGCACTTATATAAATTTAGTAAGCACTTATTACTGTTTTACTCTCTCTGCTAGTCACTGAGCACTTTTTATAAATAACTTATTTAGTCTTCAAGACAACCCTACAAGGTTTGGTCCTACTACTGTTGTTTCACAGAAAAGGAAATACTGAGAGGTAAAGCAACTTGCTCAAGGTCACACAGCTAGTAAGTGGCTATGCTGAGCACCGAACGCAAGCACTCTGCCTCTAAAGTCTGTGATCTTGACCACTACCCTATACTGCCCCCCTACACACTATGTACAGAGTGCTTTACACGTGTTATTTCACATAAAGCACATAATAACCTTTTAAGATAAGTTGTATGTTTAGTCGCATTTTACAGATGAGGAAACCAAGGCACAGGGAGGTGAAACAGCTTGCCCACTCAGCAAATGAATGAGAAGTGGGGATTCTGACTTCACCAAAGTGCCATCCAGTCAGTTACTCCTTATCACCCAACACTCCCCATTCTTTCTCCACCATATGCCTTTGGTTAGAGTCATGAAAACAGCTTGTGTCTGTGAATGAGAAACTATCCTCTGATTGGTCCTGGAACCTTAAACTCACTAGCTTTACACTAGCTTTATAGACAGGGGAGAAGTCTGACTGATCCAGACAGTGGATCCAGATGTGGTATGATTCAGGGTCCCCTGGGGGATCCTCATGGTCAAAACTATTTTCTCGGTAATACTAAGCTACTTGTTTTTTTCCCTTGCATTATCCATGAGTTTACAGTGGAGTTTTCCCAAAACTACATGACATGCGATATCATTACAAGTTGAAAGTGAAGCAGATATAAGAATCCAACTGTCTTCTATGAAGCCAGACAATGCAGACATCTCCTTACTATTTTATTCTGAGAGTTATTTTTCATAAAAATGTAATTAGCGCTAGTATGTAATAGGCTTATTACTTAAATAAATTAAGACATATTTTAAAGCTCTTCAGGTTTAATTTCTATTATGGTAAAGATAGACATAAGACAAATAATGGAACCATCCATACTATTCTTTATTTTGATCCAGACAAGCATCAAAATATTTTATGAGTGTAAAGGGGTCCTGAGACCAAAATGCCTGAGAACTGCTGCATGGGACTGGGATCTCCATTAACTGCCGGGACACTCAGGCCTGGTGCCCCTCTGCAACGCACAGCACACAGCAGGGACTAGGGATATGTAATTTTGGCTGTTGAAAGAATGTCCAATTGTACAGTATTGGCCACCCCCTTTAGGTCCATGCCCCCACATGCATGATAATGACGGATGCTCATATCCACACAGCTTACCTGAAAATAGTCTGTAATGAATGATCCAAGTTCACTCTTCAACAGCCGCCTGGGGAGAAGGGAGAAGAGAAACACCGTCAAGCGGCCCTTGATGGTACAGCTCATGGTGACAATGTGCTCACCAGTGGCATGGGGTGGGACCAGGCCTGAGAAGTTGGGGGCACGTTCTTAGGTCCTGGTCCCCATGCCCCCATTGTTATCATGGAATTGCAGCAACAGAAATCCTAGAAGATGCGTTCCTCAGTTCACTCTGAGAAAGTAGCACTGTGAAGAGGGCAGCCAGCCACAGGAAATCCTAATTCTAGCAGAGCTGCTAGGGGCAGGCCAGGGCACCTGGCTTTATATGAAGCAAAAAGAAGAAGAGAAAGACCATCATTTTGCACTCCTCCACATTTGCAGAGCACTTTATAGTTTAAAACGCATTTTTCATACATTCTTCAACCAAGGATTATAAAATGTATGTTGCGGGGGGATAGGAGTAATTATTATTCTTCCTGTATGGATTTTAAAAATTATGCCTCAGAGAGTTCCCCAAAACAAGTCAGTGGCAGAGCCAAGATTTGAACCCAGACTTTTTGCAAAATTAACATCTTTTCCCATAACTCCACCCTGTCTCTCCTCCAAATCCAGAACCCCTCCCCCGACCCTGACTTAAAATTCAACTTGGTACCATGGTTTGGGTGGTCTTACAACCCATGCCCAATGGACTGAAGCAGTCTTCAAGGTGGACCACAGCAGGGAGAACAGAGAGATTTTATTTATCCAGCAATGAAGATGTGTTGAGTGGCTCTTTATGTGTTACACGTTGTTCTAGCACCAGGAGTTCAAAGGTGAATAAGACAGACAAGGTCTCTGCTCTCTTCTTGGGGGCTGATGGATAGATAGCATGTTAATAAATACACTCACAAGATGATTTCAATGAATCTTAAGTGCTAATGAAATACAAATGGAAAATAGGGATATTGACGCCAGCTCTCCTTTTCCCTGTGACAAATAATGGAACCACCCATACTATTCTTTATTTTGATCCAGACAAGGTAAGGGAACAAAAAAACAAGAATAACTTGCTCCCCAGATCCAGTGAGTTCCCTAGGGAGTAAACCCTTCATGATTTCAAATGGTTTTCTTTACTCATCCCATTGGCTATGGCTAATAAGGAGCAAATGCTCAAGTTTCTGACAACCTTTGCTGAGGATTCACTCCCCCAAAACATGTTCACTCATGTCACTGAAGGATAAACAGGAGGTTACAGCAAGATGTTGTTTTGTGCAGAGAAAACAGGCACAATAAAATTAAGACAAAGAGAGAACCACACGATTTGAATTTCTGTGCCAGAAAAAGCCCTGGAAAACCACAAACACACATTGAACAAAGAAAATACCTTCCTTTTCCCATGACAGAAAATATGTCTCTTGTGGATGTTGCATTTTGAGGGCCAATTTAATGGCAGTCTCATGGAGGGCCACCCCGTCAACACAACCCAGGGGTTCTCCCAGATGTGGGCAGGTCTGATCCAAGAGAAGGAAGCCTTTGCCAAAAGCCACTGGACTAAGAGCAGGTTGGGCATCGCTAGTCTTTGAGGCAGAGGCTAGACGTGTCTCTCAGACAGGAAACAGCAACCTACAGGGCAGCCTAAAGTGGATGGAGGCTTTGAAACAGGAAGAGGTAAGAAGATTGCTTCTGACCACAGGAGGGAGAAACACCTTCTAACAAAGTCCTCGTGGTCCTTGGGAAGTCTCAACGCCATAGGTGAAGAAGCCAAGCTTTGCGCACAAGTGGAAAAACAAGTCCTAACAATAGGCTACTTAGGGTAGAGCTTCCCAAGAGGTATCTTGGGTACTCATGATGCTGAGGGACTAACATGGTTCTGAGATCATATAATATGCTGTGGAATTGGTGTCCCAAGGAACCCACAGTGGGAAAACACTGTGCTCATGAAGATGCCATGGGTAAGATTGAAAAAGAAAGAGGTTGGGGTTAAGGGGGCCTTCAAGATAAAAAACTATGGACATCCTCCTGGAGAGCAGCATGGAGGAGGGATCTATGCCGGTGTCAGAATTATGAGTTTGGGCTGGATATGATTGAACAAGTAAAGGTTGCCCCAGGCATCTCACAGTGGGATGCAGAAAAGCATCCTGATGCTACCCAGTTGAGGAATCCAAGACATCTCCTCTCCTCCTATCAGGGAAGGCAGGAAGGGGCTTCACTCTACAGGGAGGGCGGAAGCCCAGGAGCCTTACATTGCAGCAAGCCACAGTCAAGGCCAGAATTCTGCAGAGGGTCCCAGGAAGAGAAGTCTAGGTAGAAATCAGCCTAACAGAGCAGAAGCTAAAGAGCAGACAATGCAACTTCCAAGACAAAGACTTAGCAGAAAGGACTCTGAAGCTAGAAGCAGCTATAACAGAGGTGATGAGATGGTAATGGGGAAGAATAAAGAAGTAGAACATGAAGAGGGGCCTTCCACCACGCTGATAGTGATAACTATTTCTTTACTGAGGAGGAACCAGACATGATGTGGTCATCTGCTTTATATACTTTAAATATAATGGTCCATAGCCAGGTACAGTAGGAGAACCACACACTTGTCCTTTTATCAAATCTAGAATGCAAAGCCTTCTCCACTAGGTACTGTTCATAGAATTATCTGAACAGAAAAGACCTTATTGATCACTTAAGGCAAGATTCTATTGCTCTACGTGGGCAAATCAGTAAGCTACACTGCCCTTATTCCTTATAAAATCCTGCCTTCTGTCTGGGCATGATAACACGGTTAGACAGGGTCACATGTCACATATGCGCAGAGTTTTTCGTTGCAGCAAAATATAGAAATCAACATAAATATGCACCAATAAAGTGCTAATAAAAAGATTATGTTCATCCAGGCAATGGAATTCTATGCAACTATTTAAAAGAGGGAGTGAAAAAGTGCTCTAAATAATGACATGAAAGATTTAAGTCATAGTAAGCAAAGAAACAACGCAAGGTACAGAACAGTGTGTACATACAACAGGCTATCTTATAAAATGGGAAGAAAAAAACAAGAATACACATTTTAGTTTATATAGCATTAACACACTTGTTGGTTAATTCCACTCTTCCACTCTTATAACTTGCTGTTCAAGTCTGTATTACTATATGAATGGGTTTCCCCATAGGCCCTTAGAATTGAAATATATAGCTCCTTGATTTTTAAACACAGAGAACACAAATACATTTTATTTATTTTTTAATTCATTAGCTGTTTTTTATTGAGACAGAGTCTCACTCTGTTGCCCAGGCTGGAGTGCAGTGGTGCCATCTCAGCTCACTGCAACCTCCGCCTCCTGGGCTCAAGCGATTCTTGTGCCTCAGCCTCCTAAGTAGCTGGGATAGCAGGCACCCAACACCGCTCCCAGCTAATTTTCATACTTTTGGTAGAGATAGGGTTTCATCATGTTGGCCAGACTGACCTCGAACTCCTGACCTCAGGTGATCTGCCCACCTTGGCCTCCCAAAGTGCTGGGATTACAGGCATGAGCCACTGTGCCCGATCCACATATGCATTTTTAAAAATCATATGTAAAAAAGTACTAGGTTGTGTGTCCTCTTCTCCATGTCTACACGTAAAGCCTTGGAGAAGCTTGAAGTTGTTGCTGGAAATTACATAGGGCAACACAACACTTTAGCCGACCCGATTCCCTGAAGTTTGGGGAAGATGCTGTCCTGCAAACACCACATCACCAGACCCCACTTCAGTTCACAGACCTTGTATAAAGTATCCAGTATTATCAGCTGTGTTTCCGTATGTATTTCTTATATACACATAAAGAAACTCTGGAAGAATACCCAATAAGTTACTGTTACTAATACTTACCTTCGAGGAAGAGAGAAAGGAAAACTGGTTTCTGGGATACAGGAGTGGGAGACTGTACTGTATACCCTTGCTATATGTGTAAAATTTTTGAACCACATCAATACAATCCTATTCAGAAACAAATTTTTAAGATCTTTAAGTTAATAACCACCACCAAGATTATCACAGAATGGTCAGAAGCCCGAGAAAGAATCGCAAGAGTAAGTCCCTATCAAGGGCACATCAGGAAGCAGGGTGGGTACCAGCTAACAGAGAATCCCACAAGTCCTGGGAACCCACCAGTCCAGACCTGCCTCAAGCTGGTAATCCAAGAATCCTTTTTCCTAGGACTATAGAGAGTGAAGAGATGAGGAAAGGGGGCCAGGAGTCCCCAGCAGTGCTGGCTAGGCCAGCCTGTGAGCAGACCGTGGCTAAGTCATGTTGCAAATCTACAATCCATGTCTATACTCTGTTTATTCTGCTTGCATTGGTTTATAAGGAAAGAATGTTTCTGAAAAAAACTCTATCTTGTCTCAGCTGAATTGAGAGAAGGGGATTTTTCCACACCTCTGTTCTAACACACCATCTCTAGTGGAACTTGGCAGACACTTCCCCACTTAAAAGCTACCTTCCCCCCATCAAAAAAAGAAGGAACTCAGAGTGGAAACCCCATTAATTAATTATTTGAATCTTAACCATTTACTGAAAACATAATGTTATGTGTTAGACATGGTGCTGGATGCCAGAAGAAAAGGATGAAACAGAGCTCAATGATTTCTCCTGTGCCCCACGAGAGAGTGATCTGGTCCACTCTTTTATAGGGCACAGGAGGTTCATCTTACCCAAAAGATGAGAATAAAAAATATCAAGGCATTAGATACCTAGGCCAAAATCACAATGGGACAATTCACCCTATAGCCTTACTCACGTTTACCAATTTAATTTGTAAAGGACAAGATAGAAGAGAAAAGCTGGAGAGAGACAGCCAAATTAAAGAGGCTGTGGTTTGTGGTTCCCTAGATGCAGGAAAGATGAAAATCCTGATTCCTAACACCTAGGCCGTAAGCTCCTTGGAGGCTCAGGCCTAGAATCTGGCAGCCTCCCTTCCACTTTTCCCGCTCTATCCTAGGGTTGCTGCCCTGTCAATAGAAAAGCAATTACTTGTTAGAACAAACATCATCATAAGGAATAATAAACAAATTGCTCTTAGGATGGAA